TTTTAACTAAAAATGACGAAATGTGTGGTAAATGAGAGTAAAAATACGTCAGACAAACATAAAATAGATACTAACATCACATTCCACAAGGAAGTAACGCGTTTCAACTTGTATTTTTATATAAATATTCACTAAAACCGAAAATTAACCTACTACTAAAACTAGCCTACATGAATTTGATTTTTGCCTCACTTGTGACAGTTCGTTTGATATGAAACTATCATTCTAATGCGTTATTATTCTAAGGATAATTTATGAAAAAAACAAAACACTTATTTTAGGATACTAAGGTATCTTTATTACAAATGTTTTTGGATATCTATCCAATTGCAAATATTAGGTATATATCTAGTACCTAATATGTACAAAATAACAAAAAGTTACAAAAATTTTGAACCCACGTACGTAAGTCGCAGTTGGCTTCTAAGGTGAGCTCTATGTTCTGCTAAACTATCAAACATGCACGCACGCCAAATTAAAGACAACGTTAAGAGAACTAAAAACATATTAAGTTATTAAAATTAAATTATAATGAAACAACCTTAATTTAAATAATAAATATTTTACCACGCACCTTCAATATTACTACAGAGAAGTAATCTTAATTATCAGGAATGCGTTTCGAAATAAGAGTAATTAAAGTATTTTCTCAAGTATTTTTGTTTTTATTATCATATTTATCATCGCTTTATGTTCATGCTTAACATAAATCTTTCTTTCATTCAAAATGTCGTATTGATGAATTAAATAAAATTATATCATATATAATGTCATTTAATATAAAAATACATGGATGGGGCAGTGCAATCTTACAGAATATTGGTGCTGGTAGCAATCAGCTCTAAACGTTGGATATTGAAATTTTACTACACCAACACTGAATTTTATGTTCATAAAATGTAAACCCAAAACGACATTTTTTGCGCATCTTTCCTTTGCGCCGATAGAAAAACATAACACGACGTTCCGCAATTCATGTCAGTAGGTACTGAACACTTAGGTACATCATGAGTACATCACACAAGAAGTACAAATTATACAAACAGTCGGGTCAAAGTTTACCATTCTGAAACAACTTTTAAAAAGATGCCTTTTCAGGAAAGTACAATCGGGAATTCGTATTCGCCGAATAACGAATTTAATATTTTCATTTGTTAAATAAGCATTCGTTGCATCACTGGTCACTTTGGTATAAATCTACAAAATCATAACAAAGGTCATAATCAGCATGATGAGTAAGTACATCATGCAACTTCTAACGAGTATGAGAGGACTAAGGAAGGTGTGTACCTATACCTACTCTAAATATGTTCCTTGCTCTAGCAAAATAACTGACATCGCATAATCACCTTTCCATCGATTATTCACTATTACGTATAATTATTTATCTAATATTTTTAAATAGCTTCTACTACTTCAGAGTTAACGTATAATTTGGACTACCTATGTAAAAAAATCAAAGGCACGGAAAGTTTACATGTCGATTATTTTCCCGCATTATATGTATAAATAACGTTTAATCGGTAGGTAACTATACTCGCATATTATATTTTCTCATTGTAACTATGGGATGTTTTTTGAGGTAAGTAACCCAAATGATAATTTAGTAATCTGTCTTTCGATTCAAACACGAATATTCCTATTCAATCATACAAATATGCATTTGCATATTATTAACAAGTTAATTTCTTTTCTATATTTCAATTACACTATCTTTACTATTTCCCTGTTGTGTTTAACTTAAGTCTATAAATTATATGAAACTTTTAAAACAATAACTTAGCTTACATAGGTTGCAGGCCAGATTCACATTTCACGGTTTATAAAATGAATCAACAAATATGACGAATCTACAAATCTAAAAGAAAACTGTAAGTAAAAAATTAGTTCCACACATTACCGACAGGTACAATATTGATTAAACACGACGTAATTAAATTAATATGGCATTAAATAAAGGAAACTATATTGAATTCTCTCCGGGGTCAATCAATGCGAGCTGCAGAAATAAGACCGCGGCATCAGGCCCATTGCAAGCAATTGCACCATTCATTATATGTACATATATGGTAGCGAAATATCAGTAAACAATATGCTTCCGATGCTGATGAATATATTCCAGTCGACTCAATTAGATTTTGACTTCAAATGAAGCAGGGAATCGCAGCTAAAATGAACTTGACAATAAGACGAAAAGCTATTAATAGTGGACGTAACAATACGTGCAACTCTTTTGACGAAAGCATCCATTTGATTGACGTAAACAATATCACAACGAAAACTGTTTCCCATCTTTGGCAAACTGACAGTGAGCAATTGAAACTAATATAAACAAACAACTTCTGCGTTCAATAGTCACCTGTCAACAGAGTGACTCCCTCAATCCGTTGATCTGCTAATTAGCCATCCATCCAATCACACATATCAAATTTAAATTCCAAATTCAATCTGTCACTATAACGGGATGGTGAGATATTAAGCGGCGACGCTGTGACCTCCACATACAGTAATTCCATCATCATTGACATTCTCAAAATGAGACTTAATTTATATCAGTGGATAGATTCTCATACTCCACCGCCGCCGAAACCGAGAACCACTAACTCGAATACCTCAAACCCAGAAATTATTACATCTTAAAGCGGTTACACACGGCGATATCGCTACACTTGCTATTTATAGGCGATTACATCGATACAAACGCTTTACATTGATATAAACGCGCGATTGCATCGATGCAATCGCTTACAAATCCCAAGTGTAGCGATACAATCGCGCGATTGTATCGACGGAATATTAGCGCGCGTATGTAAGGGTAGACGATTAGCGACTGCATCGCTGCAAAAGTCGCCGCGTGTAGCCGCTCCTAGTGCGTTTCGGAATGGAAACTCCGGGTCTCAGAGGTCACATGTAAAACTCCTCTCTAAGGAGCTTTCAGTTCACCTCGTTGAACGCTCCGGTAACCGTGAATGTGACGGTAAATTGCAAGTTACATAGACAAAGACCTAAGCTTAGATATCCAAAGAGGAAACGTTGCCAGAACTCCGGGATGGTGCCACATTGCGCTACCCTCGATTAATTGTAACTCACTGATTAAAGACAGAAAACGTTAATTTCATTTGGTCTTCTTCCATACTAAGCATATTTCTTTTATTTAATGCCATTGTCTATTGTCAGTAGTAATTTAACAAGTCCCCATATATGTACGATAATTCGGTAGGACAACGACCACGTTCTAGATACTGAAATTGTATTTATAAATTGTTCTATTAATCAAATCATTTGTTTACCTAATTGGCTTGTTTTAGACTTGATTACGATGGATTTAAAAATATGTCAATTATTATTGAGGCATTTCAGTAATATTATAGTAAAATATCACTGTAACTGAGAATACTATATATAAGAAAAATGAAGCGTTGTGTTCCACAAAATTACTAAGAAATTGGGAGTTAGGCTTTTCATTCACTGTCCCGTAACTCATCCACAAGTCGGACGACAAAATTCCTTTTTCAAATAGACAATATACGAAAAAAATTAAGAGTAATTTGAAACAACTAAGAGAATTAAAATTATTCCGATAATCGAAACTGACTATTGGGGAAAATTACACAAGAATTCTTGGCAGTCAACAAAAATCTTAAAGCATCGGATTGTAATTACACAGAAAATAACAAGTAATTTATTGGACTCGCTTTTTGATATAAATCGAAATCAAGTCTAAACAAAGTCATTTTACCAAATAACTGTTGACTTAAATTTTTGAAATTTGAACTGTTTATTTCTGACTATCGATTGACAACTCGTATTTAGTTATTCTAGTTTTAACATAAATATATGTATTAGGAGCAGATGGGGTAAGAGGATTACACCGGGTGAGGATGTTCGACTCCCGCTTCCCATGAGAGACCATAGTTAAGCTCTCAGTTGATAAAACAGACAAACAAATTAGCTTAAACGGTTTTAAGAGATGTCCGACGATGCTCAACATCCAAAAGGCGGAAAAGACTAATTTCACAGTTGTAAAATCTTGAGAACACGAGGTATACATTACCTTTATAAGAAATACGATAACTGTTCCTCGTCCCCATATTTTGGGCGTAGAGAAACACTAGCACAATTTGCATGTTTTCGGTAAATACATCTATTGAATTTAGCGGCCTGTTAAAACATGAAAAGCTGATAATACAAAGGCAAGTTTAGTGTACTTCGAAATTTTTATAAGATGTTCCTCTTACCCCACCTGACTATTATTATGTGTAACATTTTGTAACGTAAACACAAAGACAATACAGTACAAAACAACTATTTTAATCATCTATTATTAACTTGGGGTCTATGTATATTCCGAATTACGCAAGCGCAATACACTGGAAAACAATGTGCTAGACGTTATGAAACTCATCGCCGCTCTAGCCCAATCAGATCAACTGCGAAACTAAAGCAGAGCGAGTGCGATCTTTTCTAGCACAGAATAATCTCTCACAATAATAATAGACAATAAAGGGGCCTCAACAACAAACTACAATATATAAACGAAATATTCTAAGCTTTGCCGTATTCAGTCACTTCAGTACCTCAAAATATTCTACACTATCGTTAATACCTGCGGTACGCGATCTTGTGAATTGACGGATATAAACCAACATATTTATTAGTATACATTCCAATTCCGTTTGTGTATTGTACAAATAGGAATAGATCACTTAACTTCTATCCTTATGATCCCAATATATCACTGCCATTACTATGTGAGTGAATTTTAAAAATTCTTATGAACAATATCCACTTTGGTACTGCTTATCTATATTTAAAATAATTACTATTTTATCAGGATTTCGTTAATTATATCACTGGCTTCTAAAGCCTGGGCAGTGACTTTGTTCCTTTGGAACATGGTTTCGACAAGTCCATAATTTACTGTATTCCTTATGAACTCTCCTCCATATACAAACTAGTGGTATTATCATTGTATCCCTTATACAAGTATTAAATAATTCTAGAGTATATTTGAATAAGTATAATGTTAGCGGTAGAAGTTGTGCAATATATTGGAATGTACACTAATTTAAAGGGCGAAAAGCTAGGCACTACGGAGCCGCAGCGTATTGCGGCATGTGTGGCGACGGCGTCAAACTGCGCCTCCTGATGTCCACGTTCTGCAACAATAATATACGTGAGAAGCCAATTTTGAATTATTAAGCTTTTTATTAGATACAAAATGCGTGGCTGTAAGCTACACGCCGATCCATAACAGTTGCAGTGCCGCTCAGACCTTTGTATCGCAAACATCTGAGGGTCACTGCCACTGTAGCTGTCATCAATGTCGTCGTCACCCTGAGACACAGTTACAATATAAAAGTAACAAAACAGAGACGTGTAAGAGTGGTTACAGGACTACTTTTAGCAGCGCGACTACATCAATACAAGCGTACGATTGCATCGATGCAATCACCTATAAATCGCGCGTTTGTATCGATGCAATCGCGCGTTTGTATCGATGCAAT